TCTGATCTTTTCATGGCAGCCTGAACAACACAGATACGATTTTTTCCAATCCGACTAGGGCCACTTGGCAATGTGGTCCTGAATAAGATACGAATCAGATCTTTTCAAATGCGACCTGTGTCTGATCTTTTCATGGCAGCCTGAACAACACAGATACGATTTTTTCCAATCCGACTAGGGCCACTTGGCAATGTGGTCCTGAATCCGATACGAATCTGATCTTTTCAAATGCGACCTGTGTCTGAACGGCCAGGTCACATCCATCCAACCTGAACGCCATTAGTAGCCGACATAGGTCACTATTCTGCTTCTTGCTACACAGAAGTGGCAAGAAACACAACAAACATGGCAGACAATTGATGTGGAGAGCAGTATTTATGTTTAACCATCTTAACGAGATTATGTTTTTTTTGGTTGGGAAAGATTGCTAGATGTGCTCCAGCACTACCATCCATTTTTACTTCTGTAAACATGAAGCACGCTGGCTTGTGACATCATTGCGTCCTCTACTGCACCTGTGGGACACTTGAGCTGTATGAATGCAGTTCACACAGGAGATCACATTCAGGTCGCATGTTCTAGGAAATGTGAACGGCAACGCAAAAAGAAATCAGATTTCACAAAAAAAATTGGAATTGAGCATCAAGGCCTGTAGTGTGAACGTAGCCTAAGCTGCACTGATGAGTACATTTGTTCGACAGTGCAAGGACACACTAAGTCGGCCCACATTTCCGTATAAAAAAGCTTTTTGTTGGTTTTATGTACAAGAAAAGAGTTTTGGGTTTTCATCAGATGTGAGCTATAATCAGCAACATAAAAATGTAAAAATGTATAACTGTGTGTAATTGTCTATATAACAAGTCATTGCTTTTTGAACATAGATATTTGCGTAGGAGACATAAATGGAAATGTGGTGCATGGTGTGAATGGCTATGAATGTGTTTTGTGGAGGTGAAGACTCAAATGGAGGTGTGCGCGCCACACAGGAAAGTGTACAGGTGCCAATTCACTGAGGAGAGAGTCAGGGTGGGGCTGCCATACATTTCTTTGACCGCTTTAATTCACTATACATCCTTACTTTGTTTCAGTATTCATTTGTTTTCTATATATTGATCAAACCAAATATAAACCAAACAAAAAGCTTTCGCGATGTCAGCATATCTGTAACAATAAACTTAAAGTGTGTCACAAATAGGCCAACAAACGAGGACCTGAGCCAGCTCTCAGTGGCTAAAAGAATCTAGTTAGAAGCCGCAGTAATTGACATGAACTATATACCCAATTTATTAAGATGCATCTTTACGAAAATGAACAAAATACTTATTTTATTACAAAACTGAGATTAAAGAGGTTTACACAGACTAAATATGGTTAGTACAGAACCGTTGAGCTGACCTGGAGCACCGCAGTCTGCACACGCCTCGTTGCCTGGCATGTGGCGCAGATCAGCGATGATGGACTGTGAAAGTTCCTGCAGGCCGCTGTCCTGGACATGGAGCTGATCTCCTCCCAGCGCTGTATTCAGGGCCTGCTCTTTACTGTTCTGCAGCACTGACACCCAGCTAAAAGGAAGAGATGAACACAAACCTTTAGGGAACGTCACATTTCACTACAGCCTCGTGAGTGGTGATACGGCGGGGAAGCCCTACCTCCAAAACATCACACACTTTACAGCATGTGCTGTGCATGTGTTTTTAATGCTAAGTCAGCTTCACTTTTACTTTCTCAGCTTTATTTGTAATAAGGACACATACTGAGTCACATCTGCAGCTTTGTGAGCTTCTTTGCTACAAAACGTTTTCATCTCTCTTTGACCCCACATTAAATCAAAGAACCTGTGGAGGGAACCATATTTGACGGGAAAGCAGGAGACATGCAAAAACCCCCATCCAAACCACATAAGAGCGCATTCAGATTCCTCACTACAGACGTCCCACACAGATACAGCTGGGACCAGTGGGTGCTCCCACTGCTACCCTGTGGCGTTCACCTATTCTGGGATATAAAAGGGGAACATTTCCCTTGAAAAAGCCATTTTAACAAAGGCAGGTATGATCTTTATTGCCCTGACGGGTGACAGGCCTGTTAGAAACTCAATAGGCTGGTCTTTTTGAAGTGGAAATAATTATTACTGATAGAAAACAAAATGCTGGTCATTCTCAGTAACAGCTGGTAACAAAAAAGTCGGAGGACGTACGACAAATGTTAAAAGTTATTAAGAGGGACGTGTTTTCTTTTAAGCCTCTATTTTTTAAAACAGGGATTGACATGTAAGCACAGTAGGGCTGCAACTAACGATTATTTTGCAAATAGATTAAAATGCGATTATTTTTTCAATAACTCGATTAATAATCGGATAGCCAAAGATTCCTTAAAGAAGGTGAAACTAAAACTTTTCCACTTGAGGGTTTCTGGATAGAGCATGTTGACAGACGAAATTTTTTTTTGTTTTTTTATCTTAAATGCAAAATGTGTATATATATCAAATTACAATTTTGATATAATTGCTGCTCTAAGTGGGTCCCTCTGTCAGCTAAAGTCACGTTTTAGAGTCTTTAGAGTCTCTTTATATAATCGATTAATCATGTTTTATCCTATTAATTACATCAGCCCTAAAGCATATAGGAGGGCTGAAATAAGTATGGAAAAGATCCCCTTTTATCGTTTTTATTTAAGCCTCTCTGCTCTGAACCAAGCTGATTTTGGAAAAACCTTTAGTTATATTCATGGATATCAGAATAAATTTCATGATACGGTTTTGAAATTAACTTTTAAGCAGGTACTAATACGTTTCTGCAAAACATGATGTAATAATCTTATCTTTAAAGTTGTTTTCATTAGATGTAAGCAGAAAATCATCAGACTAAAAACAGTGACATCATCCCTCTTATCTAAATAAACAATTCACGCAGACAGTAAGAAGGCTGAAAATTTTTTATTGCTGTCTGGAATCTGTTGGTTGATTACATTTAGATAAATGGATCTGAGAACCTTTAAGACAGGGGCTGTTTCCTGTCTGCAGTGTTAATATCTATTACAAATGGGTCGGAGATTGAACTGTGATGAACTAATGAAAGGGTCAAAGGTCACTGATGCACAAAGATAAGAAAAGCCAGACCTTTATGGAAAAAAATAATTATGAGCAAGTATAACTTAAGTTTTCAAAGAACTACACCCTGGTTCTGATAGGAAAATGTCAGAAAACACAACAGTTGACAGACTGTCAACACCAGAAACAGAGATGGGCATACAAGCATCAGAAATGCATCCAGAATGGCTGGGCGCATGTATGTTGGTAACTTAAGCCACTTTCCCACTGAAAAGCCGGGATATTCAAAATCGAGTTGACCCGCTAACAATCGGCTTTTGGCTCTTTTCCCATATCACCGAAAAGCAGAGTCTGACCCGATGCTGGCAAGCTGCGTGGCCACTATCCGCCACCACTGATGACAGCATCACGCTGGGTGAGAGTTGAAAATGTCGACACTACGACGAAAATCAGGGAAGTAAATAATGAAGAGCAACATTGATGGGAGCCAGAGCGTAGTCAGTATTCTTTATTTTTTTGCTTTCATTTGTCCGAATCCCTCAACAGTGCTGCGCCATTTTAATCGAATGTAAAGAGTTGTTTCGACTTGTTGGATTAGAAGTAACTGGCGCGGTGTGTTGACATCCATATGTTGCGTTCGAAGGTGTCACATTATTTAGTGGGTCAACCCAGGTCTGGTGTTCCCACATTATGCCAATCAGATCCAAGGCAATTTTAATATGGGTCATTTGACCAGGGCAAACGCATCAGCAAGCTGTTCCCACTGACACTCGATCGATTGTTCCTGGGATTAAACAGGTTTTTTAGGCCAGCGGGAAAAGGGTATTAGGGAACATGGAACCAGGATTCAATATGGGAAGAAAAGCAGCTGGTTGAGAAACTGTTTGTTGGGTTAAAGTGGGAAACATATGACACCTTCAGTCTACCAAAGCACTGACCGCATAAAGCAGTCTATGGAAATGGTATTATCTAATGACGGTCCCCCTTTTGTGATAATGGACCTTACCACAAGGTAAAATTAGATGATCAAAATGAATGATTCAAGATGCAAAGCAGCAAGTTTGAAGTCATGATTCAGGCTCCAAATTCAGCAGATCTCATTCCAGTCAAACTATTTTATGAAGACCCCGCCTCTTAGCTTCTAGAAGTGAGTGAATCTGGTGCTAGCATCTTGGTGACCTCCCACAGGTGCAGTTAAGTCCATTCCTGTGTTAGAATCATTTAATCTCATGCAGGATATAATAGAGGCATATCTCATAAACGTAGTTCTTGAAGTATAATTGTAATCAGCTCAAATGTGTAGCAGCAGGTTAGAGCTTTAGGAAAAAAATCAGATAAAAATCTGTCCAAAAATCCTACAGGTCCACCTCCAGTTTTAATACATCCTTTTCAGGGAAGAAATTCTTTCTGAATGAATGCTGTAAAACATCCACCGACACAAGCCCATGTTTTATATGTAAGAGCCATCACTTGTCACAACATGTTGCCAAGGTGGTCAAATATGAGATAAGTACAGAGTAATGGGGACCTGCAGCCAACAAAAGTTTAGTTTTCTTACATCATACATTCCTGCTCATCATCAGCCTGAAAATGATATGTCCGGTTATCTGAAAAAGAGAAAAAAAAAAGACCCAACAGCAAAATTAAATGTAAGAATCTATAAAAGCAAAGTAAGAAGTTCCCAAAATATCTGTTGTTCATTACTTGACCTTTTAAGCCTACATTTTAGGTAAAAAATAAACCTACGAGTGATCAAGTCAAAGGTCTTCCTGTCTTCCGGGTTGGGTCGCACCTGACAGGTCAGAAGGTTCAGTTTGGCCGGTGGTCGATTGATCTGAAAACAAAAAAGGCTTTTATACTTTCAATTAAAGTTTTCATACATTTATCATTTATTTTGTCACTCGACAGAGCAGAGCTGTATCTATCAGTCCTCACCGTACTGTGGGAAATAGTCAAGTATCCAAATTTGACTCCACATTTCCTCCTTTGCCAAACCTTTCTGATCCTACACAGTTAAGAGAGGGAAAAAAAAGAACATTCTGATGTTAGACAAGTGATTAACGACCACTAGGTGTGATTTGTAGCGTAGACCAGTTAGAGGGATAACATCTACTTCTGTTTTTGTGCTGCAGCATTTTAAGACTGTTCTTGTTTTCTTCAACTAAACTCTAAATCAGGTCAAAAATAAAAAAAAGAGCAGATGAGATGTTTTGCTCTCTGTCAGTGGCTAAAGGAGGCTTAATTCTCCTCCAGTCTGTCATTTATCCAACTTAACCACATCCCTTTTCTTATCACATGTTAATCTAGCTGTGTGTCTGTATGTGTTTGACCCAAAAGTTGGATTTGCACAGCTCGCAGTTTGCCAATAAACTCCAAAGGAGGGGCCCCTGCTCCACTCTTCATCTCATAATAATGAGGACCAGATGGGCCAGACAAAGCTCGACTTTACCCCTCCTTCATGCCTTCCAAACTGACTGTGATCTTTCTGGTCCTTTTTTAAAGTGGCGTCTATAACTTTTAACATAATTAGGAAAACAGAAACGTTGGTACTGAAAACATCAGTAAAAGTCCAAACATGAAAGTAAACCGATGAAATCATTTCCAGAGTTTGTAATAATCTGACAGCAAAATATTTGCTCCAGGCAAAGATTTATATACACTTTTCATCACTATGATTTTATAATTATTTCAGGCCATTTGCAGTCTTTTTTCAAGAAGGATTTCTTTTTTCCGGGATGCAAATGTTACCCAACATCATTAGTGCATTTTATAAACCAGTGGAGTTGGCTTTGATGAAACTTCTGTAATGATCAATAAGCTTAATGTGTCATTCCTTCTGGATGCTCTTCAAGAATTCATTTAAACTGGTTGATCCCCTGGAGAAAAAGTGGTTTTAAATCCTAGTCCACAAACAAAGGTGAAGTCTGGGCTTTGGTGCCAGATTCATCCAAAATCAGCTAGGATAGTTATTTAGGATTGGGTTTGTGCAGACATTCATTTATGTCCCAGGTTTCATCAATCTAGCTGTTGATTTGAAGTGAAATGGGATTTTTTTTTTTTTTTTTTTACAAAGGCCTTGTTTTTTTTTTAAATAATTTATCCAATAATTTCTCCAGCTCAGCAGACCCTCAAAATGATGCTACCACCACTATTTTTAACATTTGCAAATTGTTTTAAAGATCTATGCTTGACCACTCTTAATAATATATATATATACAAAACCATGCAAATTCATGGGTAGAGGATATAAAAATGTACCACTTGAAAAGCGATTCTCCCAATTGGAAACAACTGTGGCAGCAGTTTTTGCACAAAATATCTGCAGTCATTTTTGCCGTAATAGGCGGATTAGAACAATGGCAGACAATAGAGATTATGTGAGCCCATTTGGACTGTCAAAATATCATTGATAAAGAAAAAAGTGGTAATAGGACAGGTTAAGTAAGGCAGTGGTGCAGTAGAAAATGTTTATACAATTAAAACAAATCAAAATAAATGACTGAACTTAGATATTATTTTATGTTTATAAAAAACTAGAATATCAAATGAGACTGATGGGGTGGGGGTGTACATCTCTTACCAACAGGTTTTTTTTTCCCTCTCTGAATTAAATAAAGCATATCTGGGTACGAAGTACAGTTACGTTTTGTTTTCTTTCATTTTAAATATAGTGCTCTGAGACTGGTTAAGAGGTGCACTATAAATATAATTTGGTATCATCATATTTTTTAATAATCATCATTATTTCCTCCTCCATGGCTTTGAACCCCATTTTTCTTTTAGGGTTTTTTTTTTCTCAGACTGCCTGTAGAAAACACATTTTGACCATTTTAATTTAAGGAACCAAACAAGTTTATATGTGTGATCTTTGTACATCACCCACATGCCCACTTATTGCACGTACTCAAAAGAAATTACAATTTGGATTCTTTGAATATCAGGCTCCAAGTGTTCCAGCTTATTTTGACATTCATGACCCATTGAGAACTGATGTAGCCTTTTGAAAAGACTGATATGTGCAATTCTAGTTAAAAAGTATTGAACTCTCATGTGTTTATTTACCCATCGCTCTTTTTTTGGAGAAAGCCAGATTTCTCTGTCCCATATTTCTTGTTTCCTTGTGGTTGGTGGATGCTATAGCCATTCCCTGAATTCTTCCGGTTCAGGTACTCCTAGGAAAAAAAGACGTTACTTAAAACATTAAATTAACAATGCACATATTGAAATCTAGAATAAAAATCACAAACAAGTGGGGTTAAACAAAGCAGTTCATTCAGTAAGTGACTGGGACCTCTAAGGGTGACTTTATCTCTTTAGAGCACTAACTCTGCACTAACTTGTTGTTTACCTTGCTGTTGCTGTTTAAACCATAAATGTATTACTTGTGGGGGTTCGTTAGGGGTCAATACTGGGACCACTTCTCATATTATATATAGCAACAAATCTATGTTCAAAATAAATTTTTTATCAAAGCCTGTTGCGTAAATTGTAATTCACCATTTCTCTGAAAAATAGAATACTTGTTTTTAATTCTGTTACCTGAGCCTTCAAGATACTAAATTATATGGCACACTTCTAGTGTGG